CCTCTGATGGGCGCTGCGGGGTTCAGGCTTCCCCCCCCCCCCCGGGGGGGCCTGGAGCTGAAGTGGCCCGCCCGTCGGGCCTGGGGCCGGATGGGGCCACGGGGGCCCTCGATCCTTGCCTTGGGGCGCTGGTGGGCGCAGCCCCAGCGCGGCAGCTCGGTGGAGGCAGGCTGGGGCCCCGAGGTCGGTTTTCGGCAGGCGGGCGCCGCTCGAGGGCCCCACGCAGGGGGCAGAAGCAGTGCGGATATTCCTGCCATCTCATGCGACACACACACACACACACACTCGCATGCGCGCGCACACGCACACGCACACGCACACGCACACGCAGACGCACACGCAGACGCAGACGCAGACGCAGACGCACACGCACAAGCACACACACACGCATACTTGTTTGGCCATCGCGGCTTCGCCCGCAGCGACGAGGCGGAGCAAAGGCGAGCAAGCAGCACGGAACTAACGCGCGCGCCTGGGCCTTCAGACGCGGGACCCCATTGGATCAACCAACCGTTCATGGGCCACCCGGGCGTGCGTGGCGAGCGAGAAGATTGTGACATAGTCCGCAGACTGAGACGAGCAGCACAGCGACGTGGCCGACCGGCAGCGACGGGAACAATCGGAACGAGTGCGCCCGAGCGCGTGACTTGAGAAGACCGACGCTGACGGCTACCCTGGCACACACACACACACACACACACACACGCGCACACACACAAACACAAACAACACACAACACACACCACACACACACACGACACACACACACACACTCACATGCACACCACACCCACGCACAACACACAAACAATATATATTCGCGCACGCACCAGGGGCGGCCCACCGTTCGCAGTGCCCAGATCTTGGCCGGGGCGGGTGACCCAGCAGGGACGGGTCGGCGGTGACCATCGGAGGGGCGAAGGCAGGGAGGAGGAGGACGAGGAGGAGGAGGAGGAGGAGGAGGAGGAGGAGGAGAACAAGGAGGAGGAGGACGAGGAGGAGGAGGAGGAGGAGCAGGATAATGAGGAGGCAAGGAGGAGGAGTAGGAGGAGTCAGGGGCGAGGTGCAGGGAGGATGGGATGGAGGCTGGCAGGCAGGCAGGCAGGCAGGCAGGCGCGGAGGAGGAGGAGGCGGAGAGGAGGTGGAGGATGAGGGTGAGGAGGAGGAGGAGGAGGAGGAGGAGGAGGAGGAGGAGGAGGAGGACGAGGAGGAACAGGAGGAACAGGAGGAACAGGAGGAGGAGGAGGAAGGCATTGAGGAGAATGAGGAGGAGAGGAGGAGAGGAGGAGGGGAGGTAGCTCTGAGGAGTAGGGGCGTCTGCCCCTACCTCAGAGCTACCTGGACGCCGGCAGAGGCGGGATTCGATTCGAGGTGGTTCCACAAGGAGGAAACACGAAGAGGGGAGGAGGAGGAGGAGGAGGAGGAGGAGGAGGAGAAGGAGGGAGAACAGGAATAGGAGGAGGAGGAGTAGGAGTAGGAGGAGGAGGAAAAGGAGGAGGGGGAGGAGGAGACGAAGGACGAGGAGCGGGAGGTTGGGGGGAGGCGAGGAACGGGGGAAGGAGGGAGTGATGGGGAGGAGGAAGAGGGTGGACGATGGAGGGGTGGGGGGCAGGGCGCAGGAGGGAGGGGGGTAGGGATGGATCCTGGCGCGGGGAACATAATCTAGAAGTTCCATGGTTGTTCCCGTGGTCGGGTTGTCCTGGGAAGCAGCAGCGGGAAGAGAGGCAGGACTACAAAGACGAGGAGGACGAGAAGGAGGAGAGAAGCGAGAAAGGCCCCACGCGGATCCTGCAATCTCGGCGGCCCAGGGAGGGCAGATAAATGTTGCGGCGTCGCCGCCATCGGGTTGGTGGGCCTGGCCGGAGTCTGGAAGCCCTGCTCTCCAGACCAGTCGACCCTCGTCTCAGGACCCGACGCTGCAGCTGCAGTCGCCAGCCAAGAGTGCGCCCGATCGCACCGCTTCTTTTCGGGCCCTCCCCGGGATCCAGATCCTGGGGGCGCAGGCCCACGCGTCGCCGGATTCTGGTCTCGGTGCCCCCGGGAGCAGAGTCCGGGTGAAGGTCTGGGTCTCGGTCGCCGGATCCGCCAGTTCAGATGCGGGGCGCGCTGCGGTGCCGGTGGGCGTGCGGTGGGGTGGTGCGGTGCGGTGCTGTATCGCTCTTGGTGCGGGGTGGGGGGTGCTCTGCCCATGTCTGGGCCGTCACGCCTCCACTCAGGTGATCGAGGCACGGTGCCTGCTTGGTGACCTCCGCGATTGGCCGCCGGCACCAGCGGTCGGCGAGTGTCGCGCAGTCAGCTCAGGTGTTCTCCGCATTCACCCTCTGCGACGACCTCGGCACCGCGCCTGGAAAGCTTGACCACCACAGCCCCCTGACTCCGAAACTCGCTCGGGACAGGCAGTGCAAGGGGGTTGCGCACCCTCGAACCCGTTCCATGCCGGACACGTGCTGGCTGGACCAGGGCACGCCTTGGAACACCTCCATCTCGGGGGTGGATAGACCTCCTACCCTGACACGTCGATTGGTGAATTGGCCTTTTCCGGTTCGCGAGAGGGCGTCGCGGCCGCCATTTTTGCGGGTCCGGGTCCGTCGGTTTCGGTCCCAGGCCGTTTTCACTGAGGGGAGGTCTGCTGAAGGGAGGTTTGTCCACCGCCGACCGTCGCGGAGTTGGTGATTCTTATCCCTCTCGCTCGTCTCCTCGAGGTGGTGCCACCCTCCCTCGTCCTGACCCGCGGCGGTCCCCGTGGGTCCACGGGGCGCCCCCCTCCGCGGGCCCGGGCCAGGGCCAGACACGTCCGAGCACCTCCCCCCGGCGGCCCTCCAAGGTTGAGGGCAGAGCTCGGCCTCGAGGAGGTACGGCCTCGGGGGTGGACAGACCTCCTACCCTGACACGTCGATGAAGGAATCGGCAGTTTTCGGCTCGCGAGAGGGCGTCGCGGCCGTCGTTTTTGCGTGTCCAGGTCCGCCGGTTTCGGTCCCAGACCGGTTTCACTGAGGGGAGGTCTACTGAAGGGAGGTTTGTCCACCGCCGAGAATCTCGGCTTCGAGGAGGTACAGTCGGGGCGCTGAGGAAGGAGCCCTTTTCGTTTGGGAGGGGCTCCGTGCTCCTCGGTTGTTGTACAGTCTGCCTCAGGTTTCCCTCTGGTTCTCGGTGGGGGATCGAAGATTCACTGATGGGAAAAGGAGGCCTCGTTCCTTCGCTCCTCGCCTCCTCCTTCCTCCTCCTCCTCCTCCTCCTCCTCCTCCTCCTCCTCCTCCTCCTCCTCCTCCTCCTCCTCCTCCTCCTCCTCCTCCTCCTCCTCCTCCTCCTCCTCCCTCTCGTCTGGGCGAGAGCTGGGGGGCGAAGGTTCCTTGGGTCAGCGCCCCAACTGCACATGGGGGGCGAGGCCGGCCCCCCGCCCGGCAAGGCTCCCGGGGGCCGGCGCGCGCAGGCAGGAGGGGGAGGAGGAGGAGGAGGAGGAGGAGGAGGAGGAGGAGGAGGAGGAGGAGGAGGAGGTGATAGCGCTCGCGTGCTGTTCCACCCTCCATTTTTGCGAACTCTTCACACGCTTCGTGGCCCCATAGGGAGTTCCACCGAGGGCCCCGGTGGTAGCGCCCGCGTGCTGTTCCACCCTCCATTTTTGCGAACTCTTCACACGTTTCGTGGCCGCAGAGGGAGCTTCACCGAGGGCCCCAGTGGTAGCGCCCGCATGCAGTTCCACCCCCATTTTGGCCCACCGAAGGCCCCAGGGGCAACGCCCGCATGCGGTTCCACACTTCATGTCGGCGCATCCCATCACACGCTTCGTGGCCCCATGGGGAGCTCCGCCTAGGCCCCAGTGGCAGCGCCCGCATGCTGTTCCTTCGTCATTTCGGTGCACCGCTGACGATTTTCGTGGCCCCCTTGGGGAGCTCCACCGAAGGCCTTAGGGGCAGCGCCCGCATGCAGTTCCACCCCCATTCTGGCACAACCCTTCACACGTCTTGTGGCCCCATATGGAGTTCCACCTAAGGCCCTAGTGGCAGCGCCCGTGTGTTGTTCCACATGCCATTCCAGCGCACCCCATGCATTTTTGATTCGAAACTCAAATTATACCTCGCCGTCCCTGGGAGCTCCAGATCAGCTCTTCCAGCTAGCTTCCGCCATGGCGAGTGCGGCACCTTCGTCGCCAGCAACCCGCGGCTGCACAAGCGCTCCAGGCACCCCGGTCGAGCATCTCGTCCACGACTTTTGGGGGAACATGGCCAAAAAGCAGCGCTCTAGGCATGGCCCTGACTCCCCTGCGACCCCGCTCCTCGGCGAGATGCGCGCGGAGGATCAGCGGTGCGCGCAGATGCCTGGAGGCGGCATGGGCGGCTCGGCCGAGCAGGGCGCTTCAGCATCTCGCAAGCTTGATTTCGGCGCTGCCGCGGCCCCCTCGGACAAGGACGAGGAGCCTGTCACGATGGCCAGAGTTGCTGCTCTCCTTCAGCAGCAGCTGGGCCCCGTGACCTCGGTGGTGGCAGATCTGAAGAAGCGGTTCATGAAGCTCGACCGCAAAATTACCGACTTGGGCACTTCCTTTGCAGGCCGCTTGGACGACGAGGATGCGAAGCTGATTGATGCGGGCCTGCGCAGAGAGAAGCTCGAGAGCATCGACGCGGCCATGGAGGCACCCCCCCGGCGCCGCGGAGATCGACGCGAAGATCCCAGAGAGAATCCAGCAGGCCTTCGCGAGTCAGGCTTCGCAGCAAGCGCCCCTCGCCAAGACTGCCCCGCTGGTCGACAGGAAGGCGGGCACCATGGTGATCGGCAGTCTGGACCACTTCGGGGACGTTTCGGAGGCCGCCGAATGGCTGCAGGGCAAGCTCGCAGCCTTGAAGGAGCCTGCGCCGACGAACGAGCACGTCAAGGGCGACTGAAAGGGCATCGTCTCCGCCGGGTTCTCTGACACCGCGGTGCGGGACCAGGCAGTGGCATTCCTCCGTGCGCAGCGGCCTTCGCCAGCGGAGGCGGGAGGGCCTGGGCCGCGGAGGACCGAGCCGCCAGCGAACCTGTCGCGAGGAACCTTTGCCTGGGCTTGGCGCGGGTTCTGAAGGAGGAGCGGCGTGTCCCGGGCACCATCTCGTTCAGCAGCGCGGCGCGGGGCACGCTCAAGGCGGGGGGCGGGCGCGCGACTGCCGCGCGCGTCTCCAGCGCCGCCGTGGACTGCGAGTGGCAGGGGGGGTGGGCGACTGGCCCGAGTTCCACAGACAAGGAAGCAGTCGGGCGACCTGCCCTCGCGGGCCCTGCAGGGGAGCCCAAGGGAGGCGCGAAGGGCGGCTCCGAGGGGCAGCGGCCTCAGCAGAAAGCGCGTCACATGAGCGATGCTTCGCCCGAGTTCGCAGTCGGCCCTGCTGACTGCGGCTTTGAACCATGTTCGAAATCACTCGTCCGGCTCTTGCCAAGCAGGTTTACCAGCAGTCGGCACTACTGCAAACATCCCCCATTATCTTGCTCCGGGGGTTTCCGAAGCGCTGCGCTTCCGAGGCGGCCCCCCTGCGGCCGTGCACCCGAAGTTACGGATAGCATCTCGGAGCGCTGAAGGCCTCGCCGAGCCCAAGCAAGTTGATTCTGAATGGCACGTGGCCTCCGTGCACATCGACGCGCCGTGCATCCAAGAGACGCATCGGACTTGGGCCGAGCTCTCCGTCTCTGACGCCGGATCCTTCCTCGCCCCTTCCGGCGCTTCGGACCCAGAGGATAACGAGACGGCGGGGGTCGGTTTCATCGTCTCGCCGCGCATCCGCGCGGCCGTCGCGGGGTTCAGGCAGCAGGGCTCCGGACGGCGCCCGTGGAGTTGTGCGTAAAAGGCGGCAAGATCACGATGTGAACCGCGTGCCAATGCCGACGGCAATATTGCTCTAACCTCAGCGCCATCATCGAAATCGGCTCCAGGCATGGCCTTGCCCTGGTCTCGGGGGACTTGAACGCTCGGCTCCATCGCAGGTCTCTGGGCGAAGTTCACAGTATCGGGCCGTGCAATATTCGAATGTTCGGACGCGGCGCACAATCCGGCGTCGCATCGGAGACTCCTCGCCACGTTCTGCGCGAGCCAGAAGTTGTCCATAGGGAATGCTACGTTCGACATGCCGCCGTGGAAGCATATCACTTGTTACAACGTGGGCAAAAGACCGCACGACCACCCATCCCAGACAATTTTCTGACAAATCGACTTCGCTCTGATATCGCAGGGCTGGGCCCAGCACCTCACGGATGTGCGCAGTGATTGCGGCTGGGCGCTGGCTTCTCACCATTTCTTGTCTGGTGCCGACCTCGACCTCGAAGTGCCGGTCGACCAGGAAACTCACATTCCGCAGCTAGATGTCAGCCCTCCAGAGCCCGCCAAGGGCGGCTGCTTTCGCGGAGGCCTTCGGGGAGGCAGCGGGGAGGGCGAACGAGATAGAGGCGACTAATTATGCGGCCAGCTTTTCGCTCTTCGGATGCTACAATCATTCTGGAGATCACGGCCTCGCTCAAAAGTCCCCGGATATCGTCCCGCACCTTGTCGCTGATCGAGCAGAGAACCGACGTCTGGCGCTCTGGGCAGATAGACGAGGAGCGTCGTCTTTATTTGGAGGTGAGGCGGTCGGTCAAGAATGACAGGTCGGTCTGGCTCAACAATTTGCTTGAGACGGGCGACCGGGGCCAGGTCCGCAAACTCAGAAGAGGCTTCGCCCCTGCGCGGCATTGGCGCCCGCGTGGGATGGATGGTGAAGTGGTGCAGTCGGATAAGAGAGCCGACGCGATGGCCGATCACTTGCGCGATGGGCTCCACGCGCAACGACGCCGATGGCACCTGCCCCGATTGGCCTGGAGCTAGAGGCCCAGATGGGTGACATCACAGGCGAGGAGGTCATCGATCAGCGATGCAGCGCGTCGCAAGCGATGGGTCAAGGCTCGCGGCCACGATGGCGCCCCCGGGGAACTGTGGAGGGCGATCTGCATGCGCGCCGTTCCAGGGGGGGAACGGGCGCAAGCGTTATGGCAGAAGTGCTGGAGAGACGCTTGCGCCCCAGGCGCCTGGCACGAAGCTCTTGTAACTGCGATATTCCAAAATGGGGGCGCATCGCAGCGTTCAAAAACTACCGGCCTATCTGCCTACTGCAAGCCAGATATAACATGCACGCCGCGGTCATCTTGCGCCGGTCGAAGGACGCCAGCGCGGAGGCCAGGATTTGGCAGGCAGTTCGGCTTCGTGTCCGGGCGGGGGGCGGCAGACGCTATATTCTGAGCGAGGCGCCTCTTGGAGGCTCCCGCGCGTCGCAGGGGCCCCCGCATGTGCTGCTCGCGCTGGACATGGCGTTGGACGGCGCGATGCAATATGTTCTCCTCGAAGCGCTGCGCCGGTTCGGCCTGCCGCGAGAGGCGCTGGCCGCCGCGCGCGCCATCTACTCTAGCGGGGGTTTCGCGGCGAAGGATTGCGGGCAGACCTCGGCTCCGCGGGGGCAAAGAGCGGGCGTTTGCCAGGGGTGCCCGTTACCGCTTTTTCTTTTCGGGATGGCCATGGCGGCCCTCGATCCTGCGCGACGCGAAGGACAGCCCTGGCGCCCTGGCAGGGCTGATGGGCGAGATGGTCTACGTGGGCGACGCGCCGATGTCGTTGCGAGCGCGCCCGGACATGCTGGGCAGTGCGCGCGGGCAGTGGCGAGGGCGGGCGCGAATTGCGTCCTCATCTCTACTTGGGGCTCGAAATCTTGGCCGCGGGATGCAACGTTGTCATTCGCAGGCCGGGCGGGGCTGCCATCCTTCAGAAAGGCAAGCGTCGTGCACCTCGGGTCCGCGCTCTCCGCAGATGGCGCGGCAGGGCCGGGGCCGCGGGCAGGCGCGGGCCGAATTCGAGCTGCTGCGCCGTGTCTCGAACCGCAGCGGCATCCCCATGCACGGGAAAATGCACATACGAGGCGTGCGCGCGAATAAAATTGCTGCGCGGCCTGCACGCGGCATGGTTTCAGCAGGACGGGCTGGCGCGCATCGACGCCTTCCGAGCAAGGCTTGCGGAAAATCCTCGGGATCCCGCGTGCCTACGTCAGCCGAGTGTCGAATGCGGATGCGCTGGCACGCGCGCGCGCGGGATGAAACTTAGCAGTGTTCTTCTGCAGCGGCACCTCCCATATTTTTTCATATTGCTTGTATGGGCGATGGCAATCCTCTGCGGTCAGCTATTTGTAAGACCTTCCTCCCTCGACCTCCGCGCCCCCTCTCGCAAGCGTAAGAGAGGCCGACCGCGAAAGACGTGGCTTGCTGAGCTGTGCAACATTGCAAGAGATGCATGGGCCACTGTCCAAGCTTCAATCGACTGGAAGCGAGCAGTGCGTTCATTTTGCCTGGCGCTGCAACAGCGCCATATTGCTCATGCGCCTTTGAACACAAAGCTTTGACTGACTGGCTGACCGCACACATTTCGTGCCCTCATAGGGAGCTTGATCGGAGGCCCCAGTGCCAGCGCGCGCACGCAGCTCCACCCGCCAATCCGGTGCACCGCTGACACGCGTCGTGGCCCCATAGGGAGCTCCACCGAGGGCCCGAGTGGCAGCGCCCGCGTACTGTTCCACCCTCCATATCTGCGAACTCGTCACACGTTTTGTGGCCCTGTAGGGAGCTCCGCCGAAGGCCCCACTGGCAGCGCCCGCGTGCGATTTCACCCCCCATTTCGGCGAACCTCTCACACGTTTCGTGGCCCCATGGGGTGCTCCACCGAAGGTCCCAGTGGCCCCTGTTGCTGGCCCCCCTCTTTCATGCCATGTCCTTCGCGGCGCACGAGACCCCAGCAACAACGACCGCATGGCGGCTGTGCCACATTTCGGCACACCCCTGACATGCTTCGAGGCCCCCCAAAGAGATCCACCCAAGGCGATATTCATAGCCGTGGTCGTCACAACTGCACATGGTTGGGTCCGTCGCCAAGCGAATTTCAGCACGAGGGGGCGCGGCAGGCCCTCGCTCCCCCCCCCCTCCCCCGGCCGTCCAGGCAAGGGGCTCGGGCCCACCGTGGTGGTTACATTGGTGTCCATCTTCGGGCGGCGGTCCGCGTTCACGCTGGCCTTCGCGGGCTCGCCCCTCCTCGCCTTGCTCACATTGCGGCCGCCGTAGCCGCCGCCTCCGCCGCCGCCGTCCTCATCCTCGTCCTCTTCGTCGTCTTCCTCTTCCTTTTCCCTCCTCCTCCTCCTCCTCATCACTCCTCCTCCTCCTTCTCCTCCTCCTCCTTCTTTTCTTCCTTCTCCTCCTTCTCCTCCTCGCCCTCGCCCTCACCCCTCCTCTTCCTCCTCCTCCTCCTCCTCCTTCCTCCGCCTTTCCCTCCCTCTCTTCTCCCTCCACTCCCTCCCCTCCCTCCCCTTCCTTCCCCTCCTTTCCCTCTTCTCCTCCTCCTCCTCCTCCTCCTCCTCCTCCTCTCCTCTTTCTCCTCCTCTCCTCCTCCTCCTCCTCCTCCTCCTCTTCCTGCTCACGCCTTGACCTCCTCCCCCCCCTCCTCCTCCTCCTCCTCCCTCCTCCTCCTCCTCCTCTCCTCCTCCTCCTCCTCCTCCTCCTCCTCCTATTCCTCAAATTCCTCATGTGTTTTATTGATCCTTTTCTCCCTCCCTCCCCTCTCTCTCCCCCCTTCTGCCTCCTCTCATTATCCTTTCTTCTCCCTCCTCTCCCTCTCCCTCTTCTCCCTTCTGTCTCTCTCTCTCTCTCTCCTCCCCTCCCTTTCTCCCTCCCGTCTTCTTCTCCATACCCTCTCTCGGTTCTAGCCATCCTCAGGCCGTTTGTGCGCGCGCTTCCTCGGACGCCGCGCACTTCCAGGCGCCGCGCGCCAGGGAACGCCACCCTCATCGCTGACGGCTCTGACTGCCTTCCGCAGCCGCTCCGGCACAGGGGCCACAAGAGGCCCTCCCAGAAGGAGGGAGAGAGAGAGAGAGAGGGGCCCAGACCTCCGATGTCTTGATTTTCTCGGGCACGCGGTCCCCCAGAGCTCTGGACCACACTTCCCCCGGGGACGGGTTCTTCGTCCCCGATGGCTTGCGGACGGTCCCGGGTCTGGCGAGGGCTCCCCGAGGACGCCAGGATGTCGGCGACGAGCCTCCCGCTTGAGTTTGTCAGCGCAGCCAGCCCGCACAGTAAGGATGGGCAACCTTCCCAAGGGCAGCCTCCTCCTCCTCCTCCTCCTCCTCCTCCTCCTCCTGCTCCCCTTGCATCCCTGCCTCCTCGGTTCATCCTTGGCCACTTTCGCGGCCGCGCCCCGCTCGGAAAGCTTCGATGTGGGCGTGCCAAGGCCTTTGCATCCTCATCGCGCATCCTCATGGTACGGTTAGGTCGGGCATGTCCCCCTACAGGCGGATTTTGGGCGAAAAATAAAAGATACACAAACCGTAATCCCAAACTGTCGAAAATAAGCAAGAAATCGTCCCCAGACTATTGTCTTGACTTTTTCATTATTCCTCCTGTAGACGGACAGGCCCGACTTCATGGTACGGGCCGTCCGTGCCTCGGAGGTTTGGGCGGGAGGGCGAGGGAGAGACACATAGAGCCGCCCGCCATGCGGCTGTTCGTGCGCGACCTTGCGGGCCGTGCGCTGCCCGTCGAGGCGGCCGCCGACGCGAGCGTGGACGGCCTGAAGCAGCAGCTCGCCGCCGAGCTGGCGGTGCCGGCGGCAGAGCAGCGACTGCTCTTCGGCGGTCAGGCGCTCGAGGGCGACGCGCGGCTGGGCTCCTGCGGGCTCCAGGACACCTAGAATAATCGAAACAGCAAGAAGAGGAAGAGGAAGACAAACAAATAATAGTATGAATAATCCGATCACGAACAATGATACTAGTAATATTACGAATACTAGTAGTTCAAGTAACTGCAATAATATTACGAATGCTACTAATACTAGTTGTAATAACCCCATGCCCACGATAATAATGTACCCCCCCCTTCAGTAGTTAGAGGTTTTTATCGTCGACCAATAAGAGTTTGGTCGGGGGCGCGGGGGCGCGGAGGCCGAACTTCATTATCACGGGAAAAGTTCGCCATCGAGGTTACTTCCTTCTTATATTGAGATAGGAACATCAAGCGAAGCGAACACGTTGTTTCAGGATGTCTCAAGCGAAACCGATGTCCTTCTGTCTCTTTGTAGTTCTTTCTGTCTCTCTTTCTTTCTTTCTCTGTCTCTCTCTCTCTCTGTCTCTCTATCTCTTTCTCCTCCTCCTCCCCCTGGCGCCCTGAACTTGTTTATCGCTGGGGTTGATTATCCTGGGAAAACGAGGCGCGTGAGCTACCCTACACGAGCAGATGAAACTTGTCATTTTCATCAAGCGTTTACACATTAAATCTAATAAGTTTGAAACTTTGGATTTTTTCTATCTCCTTCTCCTCTCCTACTCTTGCTCTTTCTCCTCCTCCTCCCTCAAGGATGTCTCAAGCGAAACCGATGTCCTTCTGTCTCTTTGTAGTTCTTTCTGTCTCTCTGTATTTCTTTCTCTGTCTCTCTCTCTCTCTCTCTGTCTCTCTATCTCTTTCTCCTAGTCCTCCCCCTGGCGCCCTGAACTTGTTTATCGCTGGGGTTGATTATCCTGGGAAAACGAGGCACGTGAGCTACCCTACACGAGCAGATGAACATTTTAATGTTCATCAAGCGCTTACACATTAAATGTAATAAGTTTTAAACTTCGGATTTTTGCTATCTCCTTCTCCTCTCCTCCTCTTGCTCTTTCTCCTCCTCCTCCTCCCTCAAGGATGTCTCAAGCGAAATAAGCAATAATTTGAAGATGTCTCAAGCGAAACAGACAAATATTTCGAGGATGTCTCAAGCGAAACAAGCAATTCGTTGAGGATGTCTCAACCGAGACAATGCTCAAGATATCTTTGGCTTTTTCTTCTTGATATCTCTTTTATGCTGGCTCTGGCGGGCAACTTTTATTATCTCCCCGAAAACCGCGAACTTTACTATCCCTGGGGGTTTATTCTCCGAGGTATGGGGTTAACCTCACGACTCATACATATGAGTCAAAATAGTTTACATCGTAACAATAGTAATAACCAGAATATCAATGCTGATAAGGAAAAAGAGCAATAATGCAACACCTAATAAGCAACGGTAGTAGTGATGGTAGTCATAATAAGGATAGTTCGAAGAAGCAACGGCATGCGTACAAGCAAAAGGTCACAATGAGGGGGCCGAACGGTTATGCACTGTCCCTGGGTGCGTGGCTGAAGTGGACTTCCGCGGCGCGGATTCTGCGTGTCTGTTGTCGTCGTCCCGCCCACGGCCCGCTCCGCGACCCACCCCGCGACCCACCCCGCGGCCCCCTCCTCTCTTCTTCACAACTGCAGGGTTCTCGGGCTTTCTGTCCGCTCCTTAGATTTGTATGTCGTGGAACCTATATGTGCGGCCTAGGCCCGCGGTGCCCGGACAAAGCCCGTCATTCCTTACATATCATTCGTCCCTTGTGGTGGCCCAGTGACTATACCGCTGCCCTTCCCTTGCATTGGGCGTTTCGATCCTCCTGGGAGGCCCTCGTCGCCGCGGCCGGATGTTCCGG